GATGTTACCTGACTGGGTCATGAAACATCTGCAAGAAAAAAAAAAAAAAGCAAACTCAGAGAGCACCAAGGACCCCTCATTTCAACCCTGAGCTACAAATATTCCCCTTTATTGTGAGAGAAGATTAAACATTGAATAATGGGATATTTGATCCTCATGTCCTCCCATGCTTGTGATGAAATGAGCACAAAAATACGACATGCCAACCATGAAAGTTTCACTGCAAATCTTTTTTTTTGGTGGGGGCAGTGTTAAGGGGGTGAAGGCACTTTCTTTCCCCATCAAAATATGTGAAAATATTAAAGGAGGCAAAAATGAAAATTTCAGCACAGGGGTTGTTTTGTTGCTGCTGGAAATATTTACCATGAAGAACAGTGAGTATAACTAACTCCTACTAAATAAAAGTATAAATATGACCAATGTCCGTAATACCGTAGTAATTATTAATTGCAATCAAGAACCTTGGTTGGGTTTTAGTGGCAGAATATAATTTTGCAGATAATTGTTTGGGCAAGTTATTCACAGGCAATTATACAAACACCAGGGTTCCTCTGCAGTTAGAGAATTTGTAACTTGGAAGATGTGTACATGCTCATCCGGGTGGTCCATGTTTAATGACCACAATTGGGACTGACAATTTGGTCATTAAGCAGAATAGTTGAAATCGTGACTGTGCTTATGGACTTGCTTTAACTTTCCTTGGTTTTAAACACCTGTCAAGGTCATAAATGCAAGAACTAATCAAAGATACTTTTTCATCTCCATCCTACCTGCAAACGGTTGCTAGAGGAAGTTGCTAAACAAAAATTGCCTGCATTCGACATGCTTACATAAGCTCCCCACATATGCAAGGTTTGTGTCTATACATAGATTGAATTCGTTGACTTATAAATATAGGTACCCATGAGCATTTAGAGAAATACGCTCTTATTACCTTGCAATAATCATTCCTCCTTTCTAAATTGGCCATGGAAACTTACCCGGACTCAAAGGGGGAATTCCCAAACATTCCGATCAGGCTAGGTTTTGAGCACATGGCACTATTTGCTTGCATTGCCTGTCAAGCACCAGGGAAATCAGGAGATTCAGGCACTTCAAATGAGTATAAAGATTTATTGCAAGCTTAAACCATCTACAAGAATCTGAACTACTAATGGACACGGGAAATCAGCGAGAGTTAAGAACAGAAAGGAATTCAGGGTGATCTGGACTTAGATCTCTTGTGGGCACTCAGGGACTCTTGACTGATAATGCATTTGACCCCTCCCTCAGGCTCAGCCTGATCATCTCCGATATTACCTTCCATCATACAGTTGAACAAAGCCAACAAATTTGGAAATTAAATTAAGTGAAATTAAGATGCTTTTTCTTGGTTAATATTTAGATTAACTTTTTTATTTGCCAAAGGAGATTTTATCGGAAAGGTGAGCTATTAATCTTACAAACACCATTTACCTAAAATGTGAACAGTTTTTGGCTCACCTCTTTTTTATAGTTCCTAAATGCCCATGTAGGCTCCTTGCCAAACAGTTGTAAGTTTTTATTAATAAATACAGTTGTTATGCCATAAAACCCGATGTTGCATTGCGCGATACCTTTTTATGATTATTGGACTATAGACGTTCTTCACCAAAGTGATTTATGCCGGCAAAAAGAGTCTTAACGACTATTCACAAGGAGGGCATTTAAAACAAAGCAGAACTTGGAAACTAGTCCAGAGAAAGCATCTATCAGGGGATTTGATTGCCATCAGTGTTTAACTATAAAATCTGCCCAACTTAAACATTTATGGAAATGTTGGCTGCGTAAGCACTCCCTAAAATTTAAAACTTTGATTCTCTGCTCGGCTTTATCGCCCATCAAGGAGCGACATTCAAACTGTTTTAGGAAAGAAGCACCTTCTGAGCTGGGTTCGTTTCAATAAACCCTACAAATTGAAAGTATTCCAAAAGGCACTTTATGAGTCCTGATCTTATCTGAGTTTCACCTGCAGAGGATAAATATAATCTCTCCCTCCTGCCCTATATTTTCTTTGGCTTTAATGTACGGGGCTGAAAATGTCCAACACCAAATCTAGTCTGAGTGGAGAACTGGAACTCCTGCCAGTTTGAGTGAAGGACACATCGAGGGTTGGGGAACATAGCTTTGTTTGTTTTGGCAGCCTCGTAGGGTAGAAACGGTTTCCATTCCATCCGAAAGCAGTCAAATGCTATTGAAATATTGCACAATAAAAGTCATTCATTATAACTGTCTTCTTGGCTTTCTGAAAAAAAGAAAACAAAACAGAAAAAGGCTGACCAGTTTCAAATCTGTGCAGGGGGCAGGAAGTGAGGAGGCAAGAGGTCAGTGGAAATAGACCAACACTGAGAATTTTTCCCCCTTCTGGGTCTCGGTTTAGGGAATATGTTTCATATTTTTATTTCCATCACATACTAGATTTCCCTTGAGTTCTCCAAAGACTAGCTCAAGTAGTTAATTGCTCTGTTATGCACAATTTACAAGGTTTAATTACAAAACTAATACATTAACCTTCTGGTCTAAGTGTCAAAAGTAAAGTTATGCCTTCCCATAAGCCCTGTGGGGCAGTTATAGCAGTCTTCAGACATCAGTGTGAGTGCGAATTCTGACATTGGAAAAGACAGAGGTCTGTACAGAACGCGGAGGGAGAGAAAGAACATTGGAATTATTTAATCATTATGACATTTCTTTCCTGTATTCTCTTGAGGGTATCAAGTAGATACACAAAGGTTTCCAACCCATTTTAGAACCAAGAGTTCTGTTGGGTAGGTTGGATTGAGAGAAAGGGATGGAACTAATGTCACATGTGTTTGGGAGCTGAATGGAGGTTGGTCTTAGGTCCCCCTGTTGCTGACCTGTTTAAAAATGACAGGTATAAATTAAGAGAGAGTAGCAAATCCTAAAAAGCTAGACTCTGGTTATGCCAAACTGGCTTGCTAAATAACAACATATACAGAGAATGTATATGATGAAAACCTGCTAGATTTGTTTTCCACTTGACCAGTGTTTTTCTTTGCAGACTTTGAACTATACTGTGTTTCCCCAGAAATAAGATCAGGTCTTATATTAACTTTTGCTCCAAAAGTTGAATTAGGGCTTATTTTCTGGTTAGGTCTTATTTTGGGGGAAATACAGTCTGGCTGACAATCTTAACTGGGACTTATTTTGGGGGTGGAGCTTATGTTACGAGCATCCTGAAAAATCATGCTAGGGCTTATTTTCTGGTTGGGTCTTATTTTCGGGGAAATATGGCAGTAGTTGGTTTAAATCTCAGAATTACAAAAGCGACAATGGATTCTGCCCATTCTTCCTTTGAAATCACTTCCTTGGTCTTGGCAGCGCCTCACCCCACTAATCAGAATGGCAACTATTTCCAAGCTGATAAAAACAAACCAGCTGATTCATTAAAGGTTATATTGTCATTATATCATTAAAAGTCCATACAATGGAATTTCTTTTCTACACATTTTTATAAGAAGTTAATCTGAACACACTTAGATTTAGACAAATAAAGTCTAGCTAATATAATTTGTAAGAGCACCTGAGTTGGCTGGCTATTGATTTTATACTAAAATCATATAAGTATCACAATCTGTTCAATTCTGATTGGAGTTACCAAGATGTCCTATTTAGTCTCACATATTTACACAAGCACAGAGTTCAAGTGTCTATATGAGAGATCATCTTGGGGGAGCAGAGTTTCATAGTGAAATATTTCATTTCTCAAAGTCTCAGTTTCAACTGCAAAGACAAAGGACAGAATAGAAGGGAAAGTTCTCTCTTAATGCTCTAGTGAATTATTCCCAGTCCAAATATTCCATAGCAGATAGTCTACTCTCTATCAAAATCTTTAATTAGACATGCTAGTAATAAAACCAGAGACCTTCTATACATTGCAAGAAAAACTCAATCAACTGTAAGGAAGAAAGCTTGCATGTGCATACAGATAGTCCTCAACTTACAACCACAATTGGAATCAGAATTTCTGTTGCTGAGCAAGGCAGTTAAATGAGTTAAGTCAGATTTCATTTTTTTTGTTATGGTTGCTAAACAAATCACTGTTAAATGAATTATGTGGTCATTAAGCAAATGCAGCTTCTTACATTGACTTTGCTTATCAAAAGCCAGCTAGGAAGGTTACAAATGGCAAACACATGACCTTGAGATGTGGTAATCCCTATAAAATTTTGGCCAAATTTAGATCATGTGACTGAGGATATTGCAAAGGTCTTAAGTGTCAGGACCAGCCATAAGCCACTTTATACAGTGCCACTGTAACTTTCAACAGTCACTAACTGAATGATTTTAAGTAAATGACTATCTGTAGCAGATCAAAGAAAGCATTGTCTCAAGAAATAGTGCAGCACAACGAATAATTTTTCCACATCTTTATATAGCTGAGCATCAGCAAACACATCAAGATACTTCTGGCACTATAGATTTTTCTAGAAATGCAAACTATAATCAGGTTATCTCTGTTTTGAGAAGTACTACAGGTCTGTGCACAGGAGACAATTGAGGTTAGAAAAAAAATAGCTCTCAGCCCAGCATATTTATTTTTAAAAAATAGAGAAGTCTTGAATAAAGCAAGGCTGTCCAACCACAAATGAATCCCTCTCCCCAAGATCACAGCACTGATCAAAAATACGATTAAAAAAAACTTTACTTGTAAAACCGCTGATAGGCTAAACTCAACTCTCATCCATGTAAGATGAGACTAACACGAGGGCAGGTTAATTCAGTTTGATATGGGAACAAAGCTATTTGGTACGTTGTACTTTATTCTAAAAAAGGCTCATGCAGTCAATATATATTGTTTGCATGTCAACATGTTATGTGAATATTTCAACTGTGCATTGTTAGCTGAATTTAGCTTTGTGTCCTTGTGGCTAGTGACTTTTGCTAAGTAATACAATGCACATTCCCCTGCATTTAAATCTTTCTCTCCCAGTAGAGGAAAAACGAAACTATGCTTTAAACAGTTAACGTTCAAATTTCATGTTGCCCTTCTGGCATTTGTCCAAATTTTCCAAATGGGAGGCAGATGTGTTTGACTCCAAACCCACAACAGGGAGCTGAGAGCCTTCAGATGCACAGAAGCTCCTTCTTCTTGGTCCATAAGGTTTACTCACGATGTACTTTGATTCTTGAGGACCAACAGAGGACAGCCTTTTGGGGACTTTGCAAGGGATCTCAACCCAGGCAAGGCCCTCACCTTTTGCATCTTTCTGACCCCTCATGCTGCGTCTTACTTTCTTTGTTATATTCCTGTTTTCCTCAAAATGGTTTAAAAGTGCAATGTCATCTGCTGTCCAAGGACAAGATGGCAACCGGTCCAGGTTTCCTCCAGGAACACCAGGGCTGTTTGACTTGGTGCCCTCGGGGTTCAGAAAGTCTTCCGTCGATTTTCTGCTGATTCTTGGGTTCCTTTCAAAGCTCACCCCGTTGCTTTCACTCATTACTTCCGCTGAAAAATCTACAGTGAAAAATGAATTTTCTTTAGCCTTGATATTTTTAGTAGGTCCACAGATGTTCAGTAACTCCACCAGCTGCATTTCTGTCCTACTTGATAGACAGTCCCTTCCTACCACCTGTTCATTTCCATTTAAAGAACTCTTTAGTTTTTCAGGAGAGATTTTTTCGGGCACATATCCAGGAAACCATTGCTTCCCATTGTTTAGAGCAAGTTCTTGAAGCTGCACAGATGAACTCGCTAAGCCATCTTCTTCCTGAGGGCTAGAAGGTTGATCATGGCTGTCCACTCCTACAGCATGAGGTAGATTCGTTTTGTTTTCCATCATGTCATCAATAAACTTAGCATGCAGGTCACTTGAAGAATCATCTAAAACAAAGTTTCAAATGAACAAGTCAGAATGTTATTTCATCTAGTTGTGCTAATCAAGATTTAGCACAAGGTACTCAACCCCATTGTTTTAAACTAAAGAGGTTTTGTCTTATAATATCCTCCTCCTAGCTATTTTCACCACTAGCTATGAGAGGTTTAACATGCTATATATATATAGTTTTGTTCTTTTACCAAAGTCAGTTCATTGCAATCGGGCCCTTTTTGAAATAACTTCCTGACTTATGTCTTCCTTGTTTACTTTTTTTCTTTTTAAAATGTTTTATTATCCTAGGCAAGCAGTCCTGGGTCATTCAGTACTTTATATTCATTTACTAGTGAATGTAAAGTATATAGAGGGAATCCTTGACTTATAACCATATGTTTAGCAACCATTCAAAGATACAATGGTACTGAAAAATGCTGCTTACATCAAGTTCTCACACTTATGACTGGGTCCTTACGGTCACGTGATTGTGATTCGGATGCTTGGCAACAGGCATGTATTTATGATAGTTGCAGCAGGATTACACGATCACTATTTGCAACTTTCCCAGACTAGAATGGACAATTGTCACAACCAACACGCTGCAGCCATTACACCACGGGCCAACTCACTGTGGGACAATTTAACAATTCTATTTAATTATTCAAAATAAATAAAAAATAATTTTTGCCGTTCACATTTCACTCTGTCCCTCCTTTTGCATCTTTTCTTTAATGATTCTATTCCATCATTTCTTTGATATCAGTAGTGAGTTGGCCGTGGTGAGGTGGACGCAGTGAATTTTCATAGACCTTTCCCAGAGAACTTCCAACAAAAAAGTCAACAGAGTGGAGGGAGGAGCTGGCGTTGCGACGATACGGCATGCAACCTTGAAGGTCTGAGATCGCCGCTGATATCTTTGCTCCTGGACGGTCCAAACAGATCTAAACCGTCCCAAAGAGATGATGAATGTAAAGAACGCATACTGTCGATCCCAGGGATATTGCAAAGTCCCTGGTAGATCCAGGAGAAGCTCTTTTTGCCAGCAGCAAAGAGGCAGCCATTAAAGCTGCTGAAGTTGGGACAGCTCTGAAACGGAAGAGAACGGAGAGAGAAAGTGTGCCGGTTTGATGAGAATTTTTTCTTTACTTTAAGATTTGAAAGAATACCCTAAGGAAAAGAACGAATCTGTAAAACCTGAGACAGAAGTGATTAAGCGGCGATTTTAAACGGGAAGTCAAATTAATTTTTTTTTTTTTTTTTTGCTGGACTCTTCATATATGATTTTTTACTTGGAACTGGACTGGTCTTTTTTTTACTTTCTTTTTTCTCTCTTCTCCTTTTTGTCTTTGTAATATTTTAGGCTAGAGATTCCCTTTTAGCTTTTTTTTTCTAAATCCCTTTTCCCTCTTTAATTAATTTTTATTATATTTTGTTTGGAAAAGGAGGAGGAAAGTGAAAGCAGAGGAAACTTTGTAACACTGCACTATATTAAACTCAAGCAGCAGATAGTGCTAGATTTGGCGAAATGGGAAAATTTACAACTGCCATTAATAGGGAGAATATCAACAATCAAGATGAATATATCACCCAGAATTTTATATTTGTTCCAAACAATTCCAATTAGGCTTAGAAAAGATTATTTTGAAGATTTAAATAAAATTGTGTTGAAATATACATGGCAAGGTAAGAAAGCGAGAATAAAATTAAATATTTTGCAAGATGCTAGAATAAGAGGAGGATTTGGTTTGCCTAATTGGGAGTTGTATTACCAAGCTACAAATTTGATGTGGGTTAAGGAATGGATAACATTAAGAAATACTAGATTGTTAACATTAGAAGGACATGATCTGTTGTTGGGGTGGCATGCTTTTCTATGGTATAAAGGAACTAAAACACAGGGGTATTTTAGAAGACATTATATACGGGAGTCTCTGTGGTTAAACTGGGAGAAGATTAAAAGACAATGTTATTTGAAAATTCCAGTCTGGCTGTCGACTATTGAAGCATTTTCTTATCCTATAATATACAAAAAGGAACAAACAGTTAGATATGGTGAAATATTGAATGAAAAGGGTGAACGCAAATCTATACAAAAACTAGAGGAACAAGGTATAATGATGAATTGGTTTTCATATGCGCAAATACATTCAAGGTATGATAAAGATTCTAAAACAGAAGGTTTCTATGATAAATTGACTAATTTAGATAAGATTTTGACAGGTACTGATGAAAAGGTGATTAAAAAATTGTATGATATTTATTAGAAATCAAACTAGAAGAAGAACAAGTCAAAGAAACAACGATTGCTTGGGAGAAGAATTTTGGATATGGGATTGATCTAGAGAAATGGCAAAAATTGTGGTCTCAAAATTATAAAATGACAATGTCAACAGCATATAAAGAAAATTTGTATGTTTTACAGGTGGCATTTCCCCCCAACAAGAATAGCAAGAATGTTCAAGAACATATCTGAAAAATGTTGGAAATGTCATCAGATACCTGGCTCATATTACCATATGTGGTGGACATGCGCAGATGCCAAAAACTATTAAACTAAAATCCACACATGGTTGAAAAAAATAACAAAAAAGCATATAGACTTGAAACCAGATATATTTTTATTGGGAATTTTACCTGAAATATACAGTAAAGAATTGAAATATTTGATTGTAAATGTATTAACAGCGGCTAGGATCGTATTTGCTAAAAACTGGAAAAATGAGAAAATACCAACACAGGAGGAAGTTATTAAGAAAATATTGGAATGTGCTGAAATGAGTAGATTGACTTTGAAATCAGAGAACAAGAAGATAAACAATTTTATAAGATTTGGAATCTATTCTATCAATGGTTAGACAATAAAACATGGTAATGAAATATGTAGACTTTTAGAACATAATGAATATATAAAGATGTATTTTTTATTCTATCTACAAAATGATTATAGGATAGATTTGAGATAATATGAACGGTCATAAAACAAATTAAGTAAAATATGGATTATCTTGTAAAACATGAATGAATAATAGTATAGTCAAATGATTAACAATGATATTAATGTTTTTAGGAATATTTGATTGATAATACGAGAACATATACAATGTAATTGTAAGTGAAGACTATGAAGTGGAAGCACAAAACAATTGTAAACCAACCGACACACTGTATGTATATATATATATGGAAGATGGCTTGATGTTTTTATGTTGTGTTTGTCTAAGTTTGTCTTAAAAACAATAAAACTTTTTTTTTTAAAAAAAGGTCAACAGAGGAAGCCAGGTTTGCTTAATGACCACATCAAAAAAAGGGGGGGTGAAATCACTAAGCACCTGATAACTCTTACAACTGCGTCACTTAGCAATACAGAAGTTCATGTCCTAATTGTGATCATAAGTCAAGGACTACTTGTAATGCATATGGCTAAACTATTTTAAATTAGACTGGCCAACACATCCTAAGACTTTGTTGGTGGAAACAAATTTGCTTATATAACAAAATCTCCATTATGTATGGGTATAATTCATGTTTGTTTGTTTTCTTTTCATTGCCAAATGAAATAAATCCATGATGCTTAAGAGAAAGAAGGTGCATTTTGAAAAAACTCTGCTCCAAAGTAAAGATAGACAAAACAAACAACATAGACATTACTATTTATCGTATATCTAAACAGTTGTCAGTAGTAGTTCTATTGCAATTGCAACGAATTATAATGTCCACCCACATTGGACAGAATTTTAGTTCCCGTCTCTGACGTTTCATTATTTTAACTTTGTCTGTGATCTATTCTAACATAGCAACGAAAGGAGCCTTGTTAATCCACTAGTTAAAGCAAAAATGAAGAAAGGCAGCCTGTAACTTTACATACCTGAGGTGGAAACATTTAAAGATGGTGTATTTGGGTAAGAGGAACGAAAGGAGGCATTTTCTGTTATTTCTAGGATCGGACTTAAGAGAGGTTTCTTCAATATTCTCTCACGTGGCCCGTAAAATACTTTCTGCTCCTCTTTCTTCTTCCCCCTGCCCCTCCTTTTCCCTGCCGCTTTGGGTCGGACTGCCTGAAAATAAATGGAAAGACACTCCATAAATTCAGTGCTAAAGATTGCCAATATTTCTAGGCACTTCGTTATGGATTCAGAAAACAAATTTATATATGAAATCATGCCATGAGGGGGCTTGGCTTTTTATCTTGCTTTCTTCTCAACCTTATCACAATAAGGATTAATATGATGTACAGTCCAGTTGACTTGAGTTGTAGCAAAGGATATAGATAATAACACAAAATAATAAACACATGTAGACGGTAAAGGTAGTTCTCCACTTACAACTACAATTGAGCCTGGCAATTATTATGACCTTTGTTTATGGTGGTGGTTAAATGAATGTTGCAGCCATAAAGTGAACACCTTATGTGCTGTGCTTTTTTTTTTGCTAAATCGGAAATAGCTGGTAGTTTCTGACAAAAACATCATAAATCGCACTCAAGTGGCAGGGCAGTGCAAATGGCTATAAATGTGGGCCGGTTATAAATTGCCCAAAATGCAATCAAGTGACCGTATGGGTCCCCCTCCCCAATGTCAGGACTTTGAAACTAGATCATAATAAGTAGCTTGCGGGGAAGGGTGGGTTCCATTGTGACTTTAAGCGGTTGCTAAGTGACCGAGTGTATAGAGGCCCCTTACGTTTTCCAGGACAGCCCCGCGGGCTGGATCTGACCACATCGCTGACCTTGTGTTTGACACCCCTAATCTAAGGCATGAAAACTGGCCAGGTGACCCTCAGCCCAATTCACTTCACAGGTTTGTTGTTGTGGAGAAAACAGGAAGGAGTATGAGATATACTTGCTGCCGTGAGTTACTTATAAAAGTGATAAAGATGGGATGTAAACAAATATATAATAAACAAAGTATTTAACAAATGCATTTTTTTAAAAAAAAATCTGACTTATGAAAATGTGTGAAGCCAACCACCATAAATACCACTATGAGAGTTGCCTTGAGGAGAGATAGACAGCAAACAAACAACAAATAAATAAATGAATCTAAACTACATACATCTATAATGTAAATTACTTACCGGGGTTTTTTTGGATTTGGTTGAAGGTTTGGCTTTTTGCAATTTGCTGAGCTGATTCTGGCCTTCAATTTTGGTTGCAATAATTTTTTTTGCTTTCACTGCACACTATTGGGAAATATCTGTATTAAAAAATAGGTCCTGCTCCCGTACATAAATTATAGCTTACATATGGAACTATAAAAACTGAAGTGTGCAAAGAAATAGTACCATACAATTTGGGAATTTTCAGAACAGAAGAGATATGCAATAGATTTCATATTATCATCTATTAAGCATTTGCCAAATAGCCATAGTGAAAAATAAGTATTTCAAAAACAAGTATCTGTAAAGTGAATGGAAACTTCCAGAAAAGCTGTTCATTTATGCCTGTTAATCAACTTATGAAATATTCCTTTTTTATTTATACCTTCCTTTTATCAGAGTTTCGAGCAGTTCTAATCAAAGGAGCGTGGTGGTCAGGAGAATTATTTTTTCTTTCTAAAGATGAACAAAAGTTAAGTTAGGCACAAATCTTTGGCTCTTATTTCAACAAGATATATGGTAATTGTTTATTAAATTAAATTAATTAAATTAAATGCCTCGATCTCATCTTCTGCAATAGTTTGAGTTCAATTTACGGTATACAAATTAAAGAATGCTTTTCCAACAGTGCCCACAACATGATTGACTTTTGTCTCAACATACGTCCACACAAAAATCAACACAACAATGTGATCCCCAATTATAACTTCAAAAAAGGAAACTATAATCTTATAGACAATGATCTCTCATCCCTTGATTGGCAATTTCTATTCACTGGATGCAAGACTGTAGAAGACCATTACAACATATTTTTACTTGAAGTCAAAAGAGTCATCAAACTATATGTACCAATAACAACTCCCAAAACCAGAAAAAAATGAATTACCCATAACAATAAGGAAGCTTCAATCCAAAAAGAAATCACTTTGGCGGAAAAACAAATCTGATCACGTTGCCAACTTCAGAAGCCGATACAAAAATTTATGCCACCAGATAAAGACTGAATGCACCAATTATCACATTAAATAAGAAGAAAACCTTCTACGCACCAATTCCACCCGCGCTTTCTACAATTTTGTAAACAACAAACTAAAAGACTCAAGGTCCATCCCACCCCTGAAAAGACCTAATGGTAAAGACTTCAATGACGACACCATTAAAGCCAACCTCTTTAACACATTCTTTGTCTCAGTATTTGTAAACAGCAATGGATCATGCCCAGTATTTTCTAGTCGAACCACAGACAACTACAACGATCTAATACATATCGATTTTACAAAAGACAATGTTGAAAAAGTACTGTGCAATCTAAAACCATCTCTATCTATTGGACTGGACGGAATATGTGCCTACTTCTTAAAAAAGCTATCCACTGCCATAGCCGAACCTCTACGCATAATCTTTGAAAAATCTTTCAGGACCAGCTCCTTGCCAAAACTATGGTCATAAGCGCACCAACGTGCCTTACCGTCCCTGTCCTATTGTTTCTTTTCTTTTTTTATTTTTCTTATATGCATCCATGTGTTCATAACTATGTTTTTACTTATACCTATTCACTTGTAAGCAATTGACAAACCAAATAAAAATAAATAAATAAATAAATAAAATAAAAGCATGTACTATTTTTAAGATCCAAGGGCAGTTTAAAATAATATATATTTTAAATAAGGAAATAAGAGAATGCAAACATTACATAGCGATAATGGTTAGGAAAGAACAGCATAAGAAGATAAACTTTAAGAGATGCCTAAGGCACACATGAGGGGTAATACGGGGTAATGGTTAAAGCACCAGGCTAAAAACCAGGGAATTGTGAGTTCTAGTCCAACTTTAGATATGCAGCCATTTGGGTGACCTTGGGCCAATCACTCTTTCTAAGCTCTAGGAAAAAGGCAATGGCAAACCACTTCTGAAATCGTGCCAAGAGAACTGCAGAATTTTGTCACATGGTCTCCAGGAATCAAAAGTGGCTCGTAGATGCACTCAAACACACATGGCACATACTGTATGCACATGGCACAGCACAACACAAAGCAGAGGCTATTCTGTGAGACAAGGATTGCTGCTAAATTATTTCTACATCAACACCAAAAAGCAGTTTCTAAGTTATTGTGCAGAGGGTAAGTTCCCTGGTAGGTGGATAGAGTTACCTATTTAATCAACCAATTAGCCATTTCAACTGCCAAAGAAATTCAAGGTAGTATGCTATAATAAAAAAATAAAATAAACACTCTCTTAGGAAACCTGACCTTATTCTGTTTAGGGTTTTATGTATTAACATTAATATTTAGAATCTGGTTCTCTACCAGACTGATACCAAAATACAAACTGTAAAAAATAAAGGAACGCGTCTTCACCTTCAGGGCCAAAAGATCCAGTACATATCGGTGTGGCCATTTCCCCTGATGATCCCTGAAGATCCTTTAACAAGAAAGTAACATTTCAAGCATTGAAAGACCTGATGAAGGTTCTTTAATTGGTTCCAAGGTATTTACTGAAGATTTGCAAGAGAAAATAAATATATAGTTAACCATAAAACACCAACCTTCAAGCCTTCTGATACGATTTTGACTGGTGTTTTCTTCAGAACAGAACGAAGTGAATTGGGAAATGAATGTCCTTTTCCCACAGGCGTAATGGGTGGTTTGCTTTCATCAAAGATTTCAAAGCTCTGCTTTTCTGAAAACTGAACCTTCTTATTGCTAGGTTGGGACGTGTCGTTTCTGCTCAATTTTTTGTCTTCACCTCCACAGTAGAACAAAAACCACATTGCAAGCAATTATGACAACACTTACTCAATGATAAGCCAGAAATAACTCAAAGGAACACGTGCCCATTGCCTAAAATAAGGTTGTCCCTTTGCTCTGCAGCTTATAAACAAGTGCTTAAAAATTTGTGATCAGCCTTCATGCTGCATTTAAATTCAATAACCGTAAACAACTTTTGGACTCAGGTGACTCGAATCTAGTGTACAGCTTCCATCACTACACACAGTAACATAATACAGGTAGTCCTCAACTTACAACTATGCGTTTAGTGACCTTTTGAAGTTACAATGGCACTGGGAAAAAATGACTCACATGACCATTACAGCATCCCTATTGGTCACGTGATCAAAATCCACGTGCTTGGCAACTGACTCATGACAATTACAGTATCCCAGAGTCATGTGATCAACTTTTGTGACCTTCTAGCAAGCAAAGTCAATGGTAAAGCCAGATTCACTTAAAAATCATGTTACTAACTTAACTGCAGTGATTCACTTAACTGTGGCAAAAAAAGTTGTAGAATGGGGCAAAACTCACGTAACAAATGCCTTGCTTAGCAACATAAATTCTAGTCTCAGCTGGGTTGTAAGTCAAGGACTACCTGTACATGAACATTTACCTTAACCAATTCGTTGTTATTAAGCAGCCATTTCTAATTGGGCATCGCTGAAGATATTGATAGGAACAACTGCAGATGTTGTTGAATATATTTGTGAAGGGGGCTGTTTCTAAGAATCGGTGGGATTCATTACCTTGCAAAGATAAGTCAGAATTCAAAACTATTTGTGTACCATTTTCCTATTTGTGGCCAATATTCCAAAAGCACAATTAACGAGACTTGCTATTAAATCAGTCATCATCAAAATGGATACTATTGTTGTCTTTGCTTTCAACCACAAAAAAAATCTACACACCTTTTTGTATTAAAATAAAGTCTAAACATGCAAGTTCGTTCTTACCACTTTCACTCTTTGATATGCCCGTACTTGGAGTAGCTACCAAAGACACACCTGTAGATTCCACAGCGTTCGCTGGTGAGACCAGAACGGCCTGGGAACACACAAGTCAAGTTTCTATTCTGACACATTATTTTAGTTTTAATAGATGATGAACCCCTTTGGGGTTTGGGGATGTAGCCATTCAAAACAATGCAGAAAAATTATTAGGAGTGGGGAAATAGAAAGGCTCTTGTGCTACCAGTCCATCCAGAGGTTGTTTGGCTTCTAAGATGAAGGCCATAGGAAAACTTAAGAAAATGAAATTAAAATCTGATTCATTTTCTATGCGTCTATTCCATGTAATAACTGAGACTATATATTTTTTACATTTTATTTATACATTTTTCTTCTTTAAAATACATAAGCGCTTAGTAAACAATGTAATGTCTGGATCAATTTACTTATACAAAGTATTAATAAAATACTAGTAATAATAATAGTAGTAATAATAACAACCATAATAGTAATGTTTTCTTATATATAGTAAAATTCTTGCATCATTTACTTATAAATATCAGTAATCTTTCAAAGATAACTGTCAAAACAGGTGTGCTGCTCTACGTATGGCAATAAGAAGAAGGAATCAATTGGTCAACCCCTATGAGATGAGCTCCACAGGCATATTGTATGAATTCAAAGGCGAACAATCATTATAGCAACTACTGTTCTATATAGTCTGAAGCTACTAAGAGTCTATACCAGTGTTTTTCAACCTTGGTAACTTTAAGACACATGGACTTCAATTCCCAGAATTCCCCAATCAGCATAACTGGCTGGGGAATTCTGGGTGTTGAAGTCCACATATCTTAAAGTTGCCAAGGTAAAACATTGATCTATACATATTGTATAGGGAACACAGTTGGAAAAGTCATACTACACTACCTAACTCTGTAGAGATATCTATAATTCATACCTTAGACATAACATTTGTGCCAGACAGAAGAGGCTTCCATGATGGAAATTTGGGACTGTGCATCTGGATATCTACTGATATACCTTCTCCGTTCATACATTTATCAGTTAAGTTTTCTTCAAAAGCATCATTCATATCCTCCGGAGACCATGTCTGGCTCAATGTTGATTGCTCGTGCAGTCTTGTGTTTGCTGCATTCAACACAGATGTAAACATTACTAAATAATACTCATTGTAAAGGACTGAGTTTTTTCAGCTTCTACAATGCAACTCATCATTCAGTTTTTCTCACTGTAATATCCTTCACCTCCAATATATATACACTGCTCAAAAAAATAAAGGGAACATTTAAACAACACAATCAGGACCGCTACCTCCGCCTTTGTGCAAGGAGGGACAGGAGGAGCACTGCCAGAGCCCTGCAAAATGACCTCCAGCGGGTCACAAATGTGCATGTGGCTGCTCAAATGGTCAGAAACAGACTCCATGAGGGTGGTATGAGGGCCCAACGTCCACGGGTGGGGGTTGTGCTTACAGCCCAACACCGTGCAGGATGTTTGGCATTTGCCAGAGAACACCAAGATTGGCAAATTCGCCACTGGCGCCCTGTGTTCTTCACAGATGAAAGCAAGTCCACACTGAGCACATGTGACAGGGTCTGGAGACGCCGTGGAGAACGTTGCTGCCTGCAACATCCTCCTACATGACCAGTTTGGCAGTGGGTCAGTAATGGTATGCGGTGGCATTTCTTTAGGGGGCCGCACAGCCCTCTATGTGTTCGCCAGAGGTAGCCTGACTGCCATTAGGTAACGAGATGAGATCCTCAGATCCCTTGTGAGACCATATGCTGGTGCGGTTGGCCCTGGGTTCCTCCTAATGCATGACAATGCTAGACCTCATGTGGCTGGAGTGTGTCAGCAGTTCCTGCAAGATGAAGGCATTGATGCTATGGACTGTCCCACCCGTTCCTCAGACCTTAATCCAATTGAGCACATCTGGGACATCATGTCTCGCTCCATCCACCAACGCCACGTTGCATCACAGACTGTCCAAGAGTTGGGGGATGCTTTAGTCCAGGTGTGGGAGGAGATCCCTCAGGAGACCATCTGCCACCTCATCAGGAGCATGCCCAGGCGTTGTAGGGAGGTCATATAGGCACATGGAGACCACACACACTACTGAGCCTCATTTTGACTTGTTTTACGGACATTACATCAAAGTTGGATCAGCCTGTAATGTTTTTTTTCACATTAATTTTGAGTGTAACTCCAAATCTAGACCTCCATGAGTTGCTAAGTTTGATTTCCATTGATAATTTTTGTGTTTGTTGTCAGCACATTCAACTATGTAATGAACAAAGTATTTAATAAGAATATTTCACTCATTCAGTTCTAGGATGTCTTATTTTTGTGTTCCCTTCATTTTTTTGAGCTGTGTGTGTGTGTGTGTGTGTGTATGTATGTATGTATGTATATGTATGTATGTTTTCTTAAGTTTTCACAGATATCTATATGTATGGTATTCAGCTTTGTTCGGGTATTTTCCCAAATCATTATAGTGGGAAAATATAAATTATAGTTCGTTCACAGACGAACACAATATAGAAGCCTGATGATAGCAAATGAGATTCTGCCGAAACATCGCTACAACATTAAAAGCACAACTATAATGACATGGGAAAATACCCGAACAAAGCTGAATACCATACATACACGCACGCACACACACACACTATATATATATATATATATATAATTTAAGCCAGATAAAAGCATATTTTAGTTAAAATATTCTGTACTTCTTTAACAAATCTTCTTTGTTCAATAATAAAATGCTTCTTATACATGAGATTAGATGTGGATTACTTACAAGTAGAATGAATATGGACTGCCTTTTCTTCAGTTTCTTCGAGGGCTTTAAATGAGGATTGGAAGGCAGCTATTTTGTCTTTCAGCAACGTGTTCCGATCTTGACAAGGGCTGGACTGCTCAAAATACAAGGAAATATCCAAATAGTACGTTATAAAACAGTTTTCCTCTACTTCCCCATATTATGGCAAACTTGAGAAGTCTCTAAACAAATTTACTTATTTTGAACCATATAGAGGGTTTGCATTATGCACATCTAAATATTTAAGTTTTATTTCAGTTAAAGTGTCACATTATTACTTAAAGTCTGCTTTATATACATATACATATGTATACGCATGTATGCATGCATTTATGGTAGATTTTAAACAATTGTTGGTTGAATAGGCTATATTTTGCTGACTTTATCTACAACAGGGGTCCTTGGGTCCACAACCTAGTACTAGGCCTCAGTCACTTGTTACTGGACCACAAAAGTGGTGGGTGAGCGCACACGTGCAAACCTGCGTTTGTGATAGCAGTGTGCACATGAACGCAAAACCATCCCCATTCGCCATCCCATCGCAAACAGTCTGCCAAGCAGAAAAGACCTCTGATCTTCAATGTTAAATTAGAAGCCATAATACAGACCCTTTTCTAGAAATACAGATACACCAATGCACACATGTATGTATGCAGTTATTTATTTATGGGAGATAGATTTTTTACAATTGTCAGTTGATAAATTACATTTTGCTGGCTTCAGCTACAACATTAAATTGTAATCCCTGATATATGGATCTTTAGAATTAGGTCCGTATGTTATCCTAAGGGAAAATTGAACAAACCAAGTTATGGCTTTGTACAAAACCCAAATCCAGCCAGTGAAGCATAAAATGCAGTTGGATACACCAAGACTTCTGAAATGCCTTTCAGTTCCAGAGCAACAAGGGATTAACTTCTGTCAGCACCTACTTGGAAAAGACTTCCTGCATGGAAGCAAATACACCATCGCCACCCAGTGGCAAACTGGAAGTTTAATAATCCATCAATATCCGAACTTGCCTCTTAATCAAACTCCAGAATAGACCCCTGTTAAAGTCAGCAATTGAATCTTCAAAGCATGACCTTCTCAGCAGATGTTTTTAGCCTATGCTATATTTCAGAAATGCATCAATACTTCTGTGAAAACACAGGCTTCCAAAACATTTTGTCAAAATAGCCGAACTAATTTCCCCCCACAACTGGATCTGATTCTATCATCCATGTCCAACATGGATAGAGTTACCTGATCTGGGCTACAAAAAATCTCTTTCTTTTTCCTTTCCTATCTAGCAGTTATCTGGACTTTTGCTTCCCAGATATTAAATCTTTGCTCATTTTGACCTGAAACATTTTTGCACTCTGCTGGAAAAAAAAAAGATTTAATGTTCCTACTCCACCACACTTACTTGTGACAAATTTTCTTGCACCTTCATTCTCCTTTGCCGAGCAATATATTGGATGAGATGATTATTTTCTGGAGACCCTCGGGCTCCAATTGTAGACCGTCGTCTTAATTTTTTCAATATATGCTTGAATTCCTCTAAAACAAAGGCAGGCTATAAGAAACACTCAATGAAGATAACACAGAAAAAGCAATTTGAAAACCCACTTTCATTGAGGGAAAACCTTTACTATTCTGCTTTGTTTGGGGATGATAAGAGTTAAAAAAAAACCCACAACATGTTCTTACTAATTTTCCTAATTCAGTCCATCTTTATGATGTGGTGCTCTCTGAATTTAGGTGTTTGTTTTCAGGCATTCCAATAGCTTGCCCTGCCATTGAGATTAGGCTTGACTCTGGGCAGCCTCAGTCAGAATTTCAACTGGGCAACTAGAGATAAACCACATTCATACCATTCAAAAGGGACAGTTAAAATACTTAGAAAGGAAACCATCCTCCCCAGAATCTGATTAGGGATCAGCACCAGAAAATCAAGCAGAAAGCTATCCTCTAATCAAGGAGCTAAGAAAGAAACTGCACCATCATGGCAGAGCAAGAGACTGAATATAAAAAGGCAGCAAACCCTACCCTCACATGTACTGATGACATTACCCAGTTGGGTAGTAAATTTTCTGCAAGCAAACTACCAAACTCAGAGCGCAAGAAGGACTCCACAGTTCATCCCTGAACTAGATATTCTTTTCTATTGGAATCCTAATTCCGCTGCGTGGCAGAGTCATGAACATACTACTCTTCAGAATGCCACCTGCTTGATGGTACTTTCTTAAACATCCCTGATGTTCATAATTCTTACCTTTATTCTGGCTTGTAAACAACTCTGGATTCATTTTATAATCAACTGCCACACAGTCAGACAAGCCTCTAGATGGAGTAACTTGGTTGCTTGCAATTTCAACATTTGTAGATTTTCTCCTGGAAGTTGTTAAATCATCTGTATCATTCATGATGATAGGGGGATTGTTTATCCGGGTGCTTACCAAACTCTCAGAAATGGCAGTGCTCGTACACAAGTTTGCTGCTGGAGCATCTGATGAACCACTTGTGAAGAGAAAGTCCATCTTCTTCATGCTATTGACTGGGTTTCCACATCCCAAATACAAGTTGGGTTGTGTATTGGAACACTCGGAAAGTACCTTTTTAGTATTCTGATTCTCCATTGGGAATGACTTTGCAGCTGTCAACACATTAGCGATATGGCTGCTTTCTTGAGAAATAGTTCTGTCTTCAGATTGGGACTTTTAAGCAATATTGTACTACAGAAGCCTGGATATTTTTCTTCTGAAAGAAAAGGATAATGTTAGACAAGGCAGATAGCTAATCCATGATCAGCTTCATGATTAATAGTCTTCAGGCCTCTCAGGCTTAGGAAGTCAACGTTCAACAAGGCATAAAACAGGCAAAATTCTCCTCCTTTCCTCCTCCCTCCCCAGGGAGGGTCAAAGTTTCCAATGCCCTCCTTGCTTCTATGGTCCAAGATGCCTTTTGCATGGCAATTATCTTGTCTGTGGTAAGTCTCCCAAACCAAACTGGGACATTTTACAGTTCCCAAATCACCTCTAGCCCTTTGGCTGTCACGAGGTCATTTGGAAATTAGAAATCAAATGTAAATGAGTACAACTGTCATGCACGCAGTACAGCTGCATTGCTTTTATTATTTTGTTCCAATTTATCTATGTGCATGTAGGCCTACGCACCTTCACAGCCGTTGGATGGGCCCTCCACAACAGTCCCAGTTTCTCATGTGGCGTGCCTGGGAAAATTAATTGCCCAGCTTATCTCAGACCATTGCAAGCCTGGACCAAGAGGGTGTCTAAACTTCTGCATCTGCCACACTCTGTCTTGCACATCTGCACACCACTGCACATCTAATGGGAAAGTGCACTCCCAAAGAAGGGGTTGCTTTCTCCTTTTTAGCATATGCAAGGAATGCCTAGAACAAGAGTCTTCAAACTTGACAGCTTTAAGACTTGTGGACTTCAACTCCCAGAATTCCTCCTCCAGTCATGCTAGCTCGGGAATTCTGGGAGTTGAAGTCCACAAGTCTTAAACTTGCTGAGTTTGAAGACTCTTGGTTTAGGGTCTCCTGCTTGAGCTGGGGGTTGGACTAGAAGACCTCCAAGGTCCCTTCCAGCTCTATTATTATACATTGTAAATGTTTAGGGCAGGGGTCTTCAAATTTGACAGCTTTAAGACGTGTGGACTTCGACTCCCAGAATTCCTCCTCCAGTCATGTTAGCTCAGGAATTCTGGGAGTTGAAGTCCACCCGTCTTAAAGTGGCCAAGCTTGAAAAACACAAGTCTAGAGCTTCGCTATCATAAATTTAAATCCTTCGAAGCTTTCGGGGCTGCTGTTGGGCTTACCGTAAAGTACGCAAAAGGATGCGCCCTCGGTGCGCCAAAGCAACCGATCCGGCCACGCCGACTTCGGCGCTCACGAACCGCCGCCGTCGAGCCTCCGCTCGCGCCCTTCGTTCAAAATATCTTTTCACCTCTTGTCAGAGCCGTTGTATCCTTCCGCCACACGAGGAGGCGGCTCCCTCCTCTCCACTCAAACCGAGTCCGAGACGATCAACCGGCCTCGGATACGGAACCCACCGGGGATGCCTACCCGCTCCTCCGCTGCTGAAGGAAACGAATCAGGAGGCCAGTCGCGGATTATTTTTTCCCTCGCCCTCCCTTGGAAGAAATCCCAGCCCAGCGGATGGGTTGCTCGTTCAAAACCATAAAAGAACGGTTGGGAGATCACGTGATACCGGCCTGGCCAATGAGGACCGAGGCTCGCCTTTCGGAGGGGAGGAGGGCAAAAAAAGAGGAGAGTCTGCCTCGCCAGCTCGCCTGCCCCGCCCTTCTCCGTTAAGCCCCGCCCCCCTCTGCTTCTGAAAAGCAAATCGCACGGACGGACGCCTTCCTTGCCTTAGACGTCCCGCCCAGCTCGTGCCTTTCCCAATCCCATTGGGCAGAGGGAAAAACAAGCAGGGGGCGGATTGGTGGGTGGGCCTGTTGGTAAAGGAAGCCACTCTTCCGGGTTTGTAGCCAGGGCTGGTAAAGCATCTCCGGAGGGAGGACATGAAGAGAGTCACCCTGTTTGTTAATGGCAGCCCCAGAAATGGGAAGGTAAGCCGGCCGACTCCTATCGGAGGGGGCAAGCGGGGAAAGACGTGGCTCTTTTTTTTTTTTTTTTTTTGCAACGGGACTACTGGACTACTCTTTGATTCTGGGTGCATCGGGGACACCACGAGGTCTCTGCTCCCGGAGGGACTGCAGTCTCCCAATCGGGAACAGCCGGGCAGGGAAGCTTTCTGGAGCTGCGGATGGAAGGTGGGAATCCTGGGGTAGCTTCCGTGGGAGCAATTCCCCCTGGATTGGAAAGGGATGGAATAGAGGTCCAAGCTTGGCCACTTTAAGACTTGTGTGGACTTCAATTCACAGAATTCTGGGAGTTGAAGTCCACAAGTCTTAAAAGTGGCCGAAGGTGTCCACTTTCATATGTGGTGGACATGTCCATATGCCCAGAAGTTTTGGAAGGCTTTCAAAAATTGGATTCTAAATATAACTAAAACAAGATGTAAAACTTGAACCCGAAACCTTTTTGCTGGGTATGATAGACTCAAAAATAGAAAAAAAAATATCAACATTTAATCTTGCACATTATAACGGCAGCTAGAATAAACTACGCTCAAAATTGGAAACTATTGTCCCTTCAGAGGAGATGGTCATTAAAAAAATTCACGAGTGTGCAGAGATGGCTAGCCTAACCTAATTACTAAAAAAACAACAAAGGTAGTGAATACTACCAAGTTTGGAACTGTTGGTATGAATGTTTAAAGAAAAAAGCAACATTTGACAACTGAATAAGTTATGAAACTATGAAGGACGTGTGTATAATAAAGTATTCTGTGAAATTAAAATATTAAAAGAGTGAGGAAGGTATTGTAACAAGGTAGATCACGTCAATGTTATGGGGTAAAAGAAAAAAGTGTAACCAATGCTCAATACCTGCTCCAAAATGTGTGTGTGTGTATACATACATATATTTGTTTATATGTTTGTTTTTAAAGTTTTAAATATATGAAACTTAAATAAACTATTTTAAACAAACAAAAAAGAAAACAGCCATTTTAAAAAATAAAAAATAAAACCATGGGCAAAAAAAAAAGTGGCCAAAGGTGGTGCCACTCTTGAAATAGTGCTTTCCAGCATGGAGCTGATATAAAAGGTCTGCAACCAACCCCCCAAAATGTCGACTTTTAGCTTTCTTTGGAATTTCTCTCCCCCCCCCCAAGTCTTCTAGCTACTTCCTCCAGTGTTGCCTGGAATTCCACCCCACCCTTCTCTGAGCTGGCCACCTTCCCAGAAAAGGGATGAGGAAGGTTTTTTTTTTTTTGCAGATGAGAAATCTATATAAGGGTTTTTTTAGGTGGTGAAGGTGACTGGCTTCACTTTTTAAACTTTCTGATCTTGGCTACAGCCCTAGGACTTCCTGGTGGTCTGCTATCCCCCTCACCCTCAGGATTTAACCAGTTCTCATCCTGTTTGGAATTTGGAATTAATCAGATGAGGGCAATCACCTAATTTGGTAGGATTTGGCACTCCCATTCCTGGTTTCGCTCCTATGAAGAGTGATGAAATGTGTTGTTGGACAGATCTGGAGGACATGAGAATATGAAAATAGAGACATTGGCTATATATTGGCTAGCATGTCTGGCCTGTAATTTAAAAGAGCATCAGAAAGAAAGAAAAGTATTTGCAAGTCATCTAATTCCTGCACTCACCTTTTCAGACCAGCTATATATAGTCATCTTAGTAGGTTTCATTGCAATTTTATGTTTAGCCCACAATAAAGTAATTAGTACTTATCCTATTTCTTTTCTGGTGATTGCATTGTATTTCACTCTGCGATGACCTTCAGATTAGAAATAAGTATTGAAAACTTTTTTGGTGCACAGTACTGTAGAACATCATATTATACAAAATCCACAAAATAAATGATGGCTTTGATAAAAAATGCAAACCATCAGAACTGCAATGTCAACTTTTTGATTAAAACCTCTTTCTTCCCTCTCTAAAGCTGCTATTAACTGATGCTGATTGTTAATAATTTAATTTAAATTTTGCCCTTCTACCTAGTGGGTACTCCACAATTTAATACCAATTATTGCAAAAGGAAGAAAGTTTGCATTCACACAACACTCTTAACCGGTTAATGATTTATTTATTTTTTTGCATTTTCACAATGCATAAATTAAATGGACTGGTGCATGCAAATCACAGAGCCACAGAAATCTTACCTAAGCATAATATATTGTACAGCACTACATCTTCTCATTCTCCTAGTTTGCAATATTTTGTCCCCTTGGCCTGAGTTGAGCCCTCATGCAGCGGGCTTAATTCCTTCCCTTGTTTGTGTATCCTCATTCCCTAAGAGCTGGATTGAATATACAGGATTATGAAGACTGCATTGAATTATCATAGGTTTAATTAATACAGGATCACGATTTAGAAGTGGGTAGGAGGAATTATAGTCAGATGAGGGACAAATTGATCTAAGGTTCATTTATTTAGGACAATTTCCTAGTGGCAAATTCCAGATTAGCCTATTATGTCTTCGAACTATGTGTGAAATTAGCCAGTGACTTGGCTGGTTGTGTGCCAGTAAAAGTCCACTTCACATTAATGAAAATGCAAGCTTTGCGTCACTTTTTCCTGGACCAAGGAACAGGCATAAATTAATGAATGCTGTACAGATATAAATCTGTTTGGAGACATGCTATTTTCTCAGGACTTAATTTTTAAAAGACCTGTGCCAGCATCCAGCTGTACAAATAACCTGTGTAGATTTATTTTGATAAACTGGATCTAGGCTTCCTCCCAAAATATTTCTTCTTCTTCCACACACTGTTTTTAAGGAGAAGAATGCAATTCCCTATTCAAATAATATTGTGATGCTTTGCTCCATCTTCCCAATGCAGTGAAAAATTCCAAAAATCTAGCACATACCAAGATAGTCCCCCCCCCCCAAAAAAATAGCTACATCATTTTGCAATATTTGTATTCATTTACCAATATATAGCTTGGGCATACATGGAATATGTTTTAGCTTTATTCTATTAGCAAACTCTCTTATCAGATTGCTTGAGAGTATGGTTGGATTCTCACATCACAGGATGTTGTGGTTAGATTTTGGCTTAGCAAGATGTGTGAGCTGAATTATTATCTTTAGTCGTACTTGAATTAGTCAGGTGACTTATTCAATCAACTGCTTGCCTGCGATATCTTTCTGTTACAATTCTATGGTTAGTGTTATGTATTAATGCTGTGGCTTGTTCTGTAAATTATAATTGCAACAAATTATAGGATGTGATCCGATTGGTCACTGGGACCAGAAGTTTAGTCTTCCAAGTTTTTGATGCTGGAGCCCATCCTCAGGAAATTTCTCTCTAGCAAAATGTGTGCTTTGGGCTATTCTGTGTGTGATATTTATATAATGCCTGGTTGTGTGTGGTTTTTTAGTTGTTGATTGGGCTTTAGTTGGTTGGCTGTTGTTTGCTTGTGCACAAGAGCCAACAGTTTAAAAGCCAGCCGTTCATACCCACCAACAACTAAAAAGCCACACACAACCAGGCACCATATAAATATCTGCACACACTCTGCTAGACAGAAGTTCCCTGAAGACGGCCTCCAGCACAAGTCTGAAAGCTCAGAAGATTAAACCTCTGGTCCCAGTGACCTAACCAGATTGGATCCTGCAACATTAATCTTGGGACATGTCTGTTTGCCTTCAGTTCCAACAAATTGTCATTTTGATCCCTAGCCTTTTCAGTCTTACTGTGCCAAATACTGGTATTCTTTTGGCTTGTTTGTTGGGTAACACATGGTTGGATTTCCCTAAGATACTAAATCATACCTCCCTGATTAACAAGCCATAATGATCGAGATCACATGTCAACATACAACCAAACAAGTCAGCACAGTATACAAGAATCTCTATCCTAGAAACTCTTGAGTTGTTACCGGGGTATAAGTAATCCATAAGATATGCTTCTTTGCTGTCATAAGCTAATAATAACTCAACAAGCAGGAATGAGAAAAGCAATATTGTATGGAGGATTAAGATCTGAACGCAAAACAGCGTTTGTCTTTGTTATTTCCAATGTTTTGTTGTTACAGTGTCCTTTCCCACAAATTCGTTTTTTCCTGATGTTGTACATCAAGGACTGATTATTTGGAGACAGCTGTCCATTGTCCAAATTTCATTTCCTCCACTCACTCTCTTATGACTCACAGTGTAATAAATGAAGCAGAGTTTAGGATTTGAATGTGACTCTTCTAACTTGTGACAGTCACAACAAGCTTCTGACCTGCTTATGGCTTTGGCAAAAGTATATAAAAGAGCCTGTGAAAGCTA